AGAAAATTAGCGGAAATGTGGAAGGTATGGGGGGGAAATTGGGAGAATTTGGGGGGAAAAGGGGGGAATGGGGAGGAAATATGGGGGGAAATGAGAGGAAATTGGGCGTGAAATGGGGGAAATGAGGGGGAAATGGGGGGAAATCGGGAGGAAATCCCCCAAACCCCACAAGGACGCACCGCTCGTCCCCCCCCCAGGTTTGGGGTCGCTCCTTCGGGGAAGAAACGATCAATGGAGTCAAAGAGCTGCGGCTCCGAGTGCTCCTCGTGGAGGAGGGAATGCACCACCTGGGGGGGACAAGATGGCCGCCATGGGGAAAAGATGGCCGCCATGGTAATAGGGGGAGCTGGGCAAAATGGCCGCCATGGGATCAAGATGGCTGCCATGGGGACAAGATAGCCGCCATGGCAATGGGGGGGTGTTGGACAAGATGGCGGCCAACAGGACAAGATGGCGGCCAATGGGACAGGATAGCCGCCATGGGGACAAGATGGCAGCCATGGCAATAGGGGGGGATGGGCAAAATGGCAGCCATGGGGTCAAGATGGCTGCCATCAGGACAAGATGGCCGCCATGGCAATGGGGGGTGTTGGACAAGATGGCGGCCAACATGACAAGATGGCTGCCATGGAGACAAGATGGCCGCCATGGCAATGGGGGGGTGTTGGACAAGATGGCGGCCAACAGGACAAGATGGCTGCCATGGGGACAAGATGGCTGCCATGGCAATAGGGGGGGATGGGCAAAATGGCGGCCATGGGGTCAAGATGGCCGCCATGGGGACAAGAGGGCCGCCATTGGGACGAGACAGCCGACAATTTGGACAAGATGGCCGCCATGGGGACAAGATGGCCACCAAGAGGGACAAGATGTTGGCCAATGGGAATGGGGGGATGGGACAAGATGGTGGCCAAAGGGACAAGATGGCTGCCATGGGGACAAGATGGCCACCAATGAGGACAAGATGGCCACCATGGCAATAGGGGGGGCTGGGCAAAATGGCGGCCATGAGGTCAAGATGGCCACCAAGGGGACAAGATGGCCGCCAATGGGAATGGGGGGGATGGGACAAGATGGCGGCCATGGGGACAAGGCGGCCGCCATCTTGAAAAGCCCAATGGACCATAGGAAGAACGGCAGCCACCACCTTGCAAAGTGCAAAGCATGATGGGAAGGGCAGCTGCCATCTTGCACAGCCCAAAGCACGCTGGGAAAGTGCGGCGGCCATCTTGCGCAGCCCAAAGCACGCTGCGAAGGGCGGCGGCCATCTCGCGAACCCCAATGGCTGCGGAGCAGGCGGCGGCCATCTTGCCCCCGCAGGGGCTGCTGGGAAAGGTTACTCACGGCGGCCTGCAGCCCCAGGCGCAGCCGGACGCCATGCTGGCAGCTCAGCGCGGCGGGGGCCGCCCTCCCCACGGCCTCCAGCAGGGCCAGGACCCGCGGGAAGTGCCGCAGCCGCCGGCCCCGCACCGCCTGCCAGGCGCCCGCCAGCGCCACCCGCAGGGCGGAGGGGGAACTGCGGGGTAAAAATGGGGGGGGTCAGCGCCCCACAGCCGACCCACGGCCCCACATCCAGCCCCATAACCAACCCATGGCCCCATAGACCAACCCATAGCCCCATATCCAGCCCCACAGCTCCATATCCAGCCCCATAACCAACCCACGGCCCCGTTTGCAGCCCCACAGCCCCATATCCAGCCCCACAGCCCAACCATTGGCCCCATATCCAGCCCCGCAGCCCCATATCCAGCCCCATAACCAACCCATAACCCCATAGCCCAACCCATGGCCCCATATCCAGCCCCACAGCCCAACCTGTAGGCCCACAGCCCCACATCCATCCCCACAGCCCAACCCCCAGCCCCGAAACGCCGCCCCCAGCCCCACAGCCCCGCCCCACAGCCCGCCCCCATAACCCCGCACCCCCTAAAGCCCCTCCCCCCGCCCCATAACCCCGCCCGCCCCCCTCCCCGCGCTCACCCGGTGTCTCTTCCGTTCATACTTCCGCCCTCTGACGTCACATCCGGTGGCGGCCCGCTCTCCCGGCCGCCGTATCTTTTCGCACGGCCCGGCGCCGCGCCGTTTCCCGCGCCGGAAGTGACGCAAGCAGCGCTACTCACCGAGATCCCGCCCCCAATGCCATACTTCCGCCCTTTCCCATTGGCTCGCGGGACGCCCAATCGCCGCGCAGCCCTTCCCGAGATCCCGCCCCCATTGCTCTACTTCCGCCCTTTCCCATTGGCTCGCGGGGCGCCCAATCCCCGCGCTCCTTTACGGAGCCATTGTGAGCAATGCGAGCCAGGGGGCGGGACGACGACGCGGCGCTTTTTGATGACGCCATGACGTGCGCCGGAAGTGGCGCTTTTCGCGTGCCAACACGTGGTGATTTGCTCCCAGTGCGACAGCGAGGCGCTCCCAGTGCTCCCAGTACCCCCCCCCCCCCCCATATCACCCACCCAGTGCTCACACAGACAGACCAGTATGGCTTAGGCGCCCTCCCAGTGCTCCCAGTATAACAAAAGACGCCGCCCCCAGTGCTCCCAGTATGACGGAACGTTTAATCCCAGCGCTCCCAGTGCCGTACAGCATTGCTCCCAGTGCTCCCAGTAACACAAAACCACCGTCCCAGTGCCTCCCAGTCCGTCCCGTTCCCCTTCCAGCCCCCCCACGTCCGTCCCAGTATATCCCAGTCCCTCCCTGTCTCCCCCAGGTCCATCGCATTGACTCCAATCCTCTTCCAGTCCATCCCAGTATCTCCCAGTCCCCCCAGATCCATTCCATTCCCCCCCCAG